TGTACCAACGCAGAGTTTCAGAATTTCTTTTTAGTTTTATTGTAAACCAAAATGGCTTGAATGGCAACATTAAAGAGCAGGATTAAGATTGCTTTTGGTGCAAGTTGTAACCTCTGGCAACGAATGATAATCATCTCACATGAACGCGCTAAAATGGCGTCTTTTTTGGCCTTTTCTTTCCGCACAAAAAGTCAAGAACTCTCCCAGGCTTGCCGTCTAAAGACGTGGGAACCTATTGAAACTGATGTGACGTGAAAAGAGGCGTCTTGGAGACGATTGCTGGCTCTTATCAATGAAGAATTGAGCAAATTGATTTGAATAGTTGCTGGTTCGTTTAGTTCTTATGTTCGGGTTTTGTTGAATTGTTGGAGCGCATTTTGATTTGAATAGTTGCTAGTTCTTTCAGTTTTTTTTTTGTCCTGGTTTAGTAGATTTGTTCCTAAGTTGTCAGCCAGATAAAGACTAATACTCGCTCCGATTTTCGTTTTTTTTTTTTCAGTAGCTCACGCGCCGCAGTACTTTCCAACAGAATCCAACCAGCTTCTTCTGCCTGGGCCAACGGCGCTGGATAACATTTCCATGCCGACTGGTTCTTTAGCGCATTCTCATCACACACCGGCCGGACCACACCAGATTCACCCCGGATTGAGTCCTTTCATGAGCACATCTTCTTACAGTTCCACCTCACGAACAAGCATCGATATGGACCTAGGTCACAAGGAAAACGACAGATCGAAGTGTATTCAAGCGCCAGGAATCTCACTTCATCCAACTTGGAACACGCTTGGACAAGTATGAACTTTGTAAGGACACGTTTTCCTGTCATAAAAATAAATCTCAAGTTTAAAATCAAAACTAAGGAAAACAGAAAAAAGAATGGTTTTCAACGGTTACTGTGGCAATTTATTTGATCCCAAGGAGGAGATTTTTTAATTGAGAGGAAAACTAGGAGGTTGAAATCGATCACGAGTACCTACGTCAAAATTTTCTTGGCGAATTAACTGTTCACACGGAGTGGAGTCTGAAAGAAAAAAAATAACCTTAAAACTGTCAGTTATCGAAATTATGCTGGAAGACTTAGGTTCAAAGTTTTGCAATTAGATTGCAAAAACTATCTTTTGCGGGGAAGAACTATTGCGTAAGGTGTCTTTCAGTTCTGCAGTACTGCGCACAGCACAGGTCTTGCTAGCACTCGCCTTGTTCAAATTCTGGACTTGAAGATTTATTACTAGAAAAGCGATTAAAAGTCGAAAAAACTCGTTCTCTATAGGAACCACGTTCAGAACTCTCAGTGAACTTTTTAACTTAAACTGATCAAACTATCTTGTCACTTTATTTAATTTATTTTCGTTGTACGTTGCGTTAGAACCAAGTTTAACCCTTTCGCTCCCAGGAGTGTAGTACTTCTGAACTCTAGGAGAAAAAACTAAATGAAGTTTAGCGAAATATTCACGATCGAGGATTATCACGTGAAAATGAAATTTAATGGCTTTCATTTGAATGGTCAAAGACCAGGATTTTATGCACAGACATAAACCCAAAGTTAGAATCAAGTTAATTAACTCGAACTTCGGCTCTGGGAGCGAAAAGAGTTTACGTCCACATAAGCCAGAAATAGGATGTTTTTAAGCGTTTGTATATGGATCTGTACATATATGAAGAAGTTATTGATTCAAAAGGAATATAGCTGGTAAAATCAAGTTAGAAAATATTTATTAACTAAGGATAGAGATGATTTCAATTATAAGAACGAAAATTTCGCATGATTATAACTTGTAAATATTATTTGTATAGAAGCGGTTGTGTTTATGCATGAAAATATCAAGTGGAGGACCTTGTTCGCAACGAAGTGAAAGTTGCTACTTGGCAGATTTGTTGTTCAGTTTTGATTTTCAAAAGTTAAGTGTCTAATACGCGATGAAGGGCAGGATTTACGTTTTACTACAGTTGTAAAGTTATCCGATAAGCTTGAATAAAGTAAGTAACAGAGGGAATTCAAAGAGTTGTGTTTATATTATTATAAATCATACGTTCGTTTCTTATAGGTGTATACCGGAAACGGAATGACTTGTTTACCTCTGTCCAGCTCAAAATTAACTCATTTCCAGCCGAACACCATCAGAATGTTAATTTCATTAATTGCCTTCGAAAAAGGTTTGAACAGAACAGCTGATCTTAATCAAATTGCGCGGCATCGTAAACAAAGTTAGCGCCTGCTATCCAAAGAAGAGATTATTTCGAAACGGGTGAACCAGTTTCCACGGCGCTTTAGAAAATATAATAGCTGTTGTTTTAATAAAGAGTCCTTTGGCGTGAAAATTGCGATAAAACGACCTTTGGCAAACAAAGAGACAAATACTAACTTCGTGTCCGAGTTAAGTGCCTGAGAAAAAGAAGCCATAGTTGGCGAACCTTTCACACTAACTTGCTATTCAGCGAACACAACAACATGGACGTGTGTACTTCAATAGCCACTGTGTTTTATATATAAATCACAATTTTTATAACTCTCTGTGATGTATTTTCTTAAACACGAGAAAGTGGAACACGGTGGGCTGAGAATACTAGAAACATCAGCAATGCATTTTTGTTGTTCTCGATAACGTGTTTTCAGTCAGTTGTGGGACGCCCTTACGTTTGCCGCTAACATTGTTTATGGTTTGATTACATTTCCTTGCCTTTGAAGGCGGCATCTACAGGGCTCATGCCGGCAGCGTTTCAAACGCATATTCAATTAATTTGACCTTTGTTTTTAACACTGAGGTGTAAATTTGGCTTACAATAGAAAGTCGAGATTGAAGAAGATTAATAAAAACGCTTCAATCTACAAAACGATGTGGGCTGGTGGTCGCGAACAGTCCTTTTTCGAACCCAAAGGTTGTTGTACCTAATCTTTCTGTGTTACACCGTTTAAGGCCGACTCCTCTTTTTAGAAAGTCACAAGAAGACTGAAGGAGCGTAGAGGAAGTGTTTTTCGGCACTTTGATCATAAAATTCTTTCTTTCATCAGGCTATGATTGAAGTCACCTTTGTTTACTGAAACTTGCTAAACTATATTACTTTCTACTGCCTCTGTTATGATAATGAAGGGTTAATAAGCCGAGTCCTGTGTTATTTACTGCTTTCTGTTAATCGCAGAGTTTATTGAAACTCCATATTACTAACGCTTGTGTCTTTGATATGATAATCAGGTGAAATTGATGCGGCTTTGCCATTGTTCTACTCTTTTTTGCTGAAGGCCGGTGGCTTGTACACCGCGACATTCCAGAAGCAGTCAAAATTTCGCTGACTGACTACAAAGACCCACCAGAACAAGCTTTTACATACATTTGAAAGATTGACAGTTTGTCAAACCTCCGTAGCCAATAGACAAACAAATTTGACCTTGTTTATTTGGTTCTTTCGTGTACTGTTTTAATAATGCATGGCGGCAAAATACTTAAGTCTAAGCCAAGCGTGGATAATGTCTTGGCGTTACAGTTTAAAGTTAATAAAATTGTTTTCAGATAAACAAACTTTAAATTCAAAAGCTCCTTTGTTATCTCAGATGTAAGCTCTGCTCTGTTTTCTTTGCGGTCAGGTACTGACTGTCAAAAATTATGTCATCGACGGAACCTCAGTGCAAGCTTGCTAACTC